TAAATTTAAATATTTTAAAACTTAAATTGAGTGGTCATAATATGTATTATTAAAATACTAAAACATTTTAATAAAAATCATACAATCTTTATTAAAATATTAATTTTATGATCAATTTATTATATACTAACGTAACCCAAACCTTAACAATTAATGAAATCTCACCTCAAATTGAAGTTCATTACCAATAAAAAATSTTGAAGAAAATAAAATTGAAAATTTTTCATCCATAACAGATTCTGTTCCTTTTTTTTCTGTGCGTTTAATTTTTTTAAGTTGCATACTTCTACAGTAAATTAATACAAAATTATAATTTTAATTGACTCTTAAAATAATTATATTAAGTTTATATTTACCGGAAGTTGGCAGAAAAATGTCTGAGCACTTGGTGGTACTCCATTTTTCCTGTGCAATTTATTAATTCGCCACAAGATTCACCATATGGTCTGTTTCTTCCAATTATTTGATTAACTTGAGATTCATTAACTATAGATACTTTAACCTAGAACACAGTTATTGTTATTTTTATTTTTATACCTCGTTTTATACTTAAAACACATTTRTATAATTTAAATATACCAAAGACTCAATGCTTTTTGTTGGAATATAAACAAACAAATTAATTTTAGTATTTGTAAAAAGTTGTTTTATATAATGTTTAGTAAATATCATCACAAATGRTGGAACTGAATAATAACAACTGTTTAACTAATGGAATATATSTTACGAATTTAAATCAGAAAATGWGCAAAAGAAGGTGATATTAAAGTAGGTACCATATAGTATTCACTAGAGCACAATCATACTCAAAATTACTAAGATTATTGSAGATACCCYGGRGAGTGAAAATATTACAGCTGAAAGTGAATTAAAATTAAGAAAAATCAGTGCACTTTTGATGAGCCAGTAATCAGTAAGAATTCAAAATGTTTCAATTAATTTTTATATATTATGTAGTGGTAATAATGTTTCCCAMATAAGTATGTTTATTAGGGTAATATTGTATATTAATAGTGAAAAAGTATGAAACAACTTATTAATACCTATATAATTTACAATGTCAATAAAAAAAAAAAAATTAAAAGTAAATTTTGGTGTAGGTACATTCAGTAGATTTTGGCAAGACAAGAAATTCTCAAATGGCTGTTACTAGTATTTAAATTTACCATGTACTTATATAACACAAAAAATATATTTATATATCTAGATATAATGTGATGAAAAGKCTATATGATGAGTTATTCATATAGTTAATACGGAATTAAACTAAAGCAGTGTTGGTCTGGCCATGGCCGCGAAAGCATCTGGGGCCCTTGACTGTATTTGTATTGAGGGGCCCTGATAGTACTAAAAATATAATATTTCACTACTTATAAGCATTGTTTTTATCATTTTATGAAATAACATTTTTGGGGGCCTTTTAAGTACCAGGCCAACAATGAATTAAAACTAAATAATGATATATGGATAGAAAACAATTCTCGTATTGGCTTTCCAGTTTGAGTACATACGTTCAGTAGAAAAGGAATAGAAGGCTACAATTCTACTTAAGCAACTTCTATCCTGGCACTTAATTCCATCCTTTTTTTTGTTAAAATTTTTTTTTCTTAGATGATATACGATCTATACCCAAAGGCATATTAAGTATATTTGCTACAATAATTTAAAAACATGAATAGTGAGGGGGAAGAGCCCATTCAGTGATCGCCTCTCTTTTTGCTTAAACATATATAMATATATGACAGCTAAACTATGATTTTAAAGGGTAGATTATATCCTCCCCTCCCACTCCAATGGGCACATAAGTACTTACATTATATTTCATTATAATAAAGTTATTTCATACCACAGGAGATGTTTTATGGATATTGAGTTTTCCACCAATTAATAGACGCACTTCTGCAGAAAATCTTGTATTAGTTTTCAATACTTGAGGCGGTTGAGCAATAATAACAAAGGTACTGAAAAATAAATAGGTAATTGAACATAATAACCATAAACCAATTGAAATTTAAAAAAAAATTTAAATTTTTTTTACCTTGTCACCAAGGATGAAAGATACTGAGTAGTCATATTGAGCAGTGTGTTAATAATTTCACATGATTGTGGTAATTCAAAAAAACGACTCAAATTCACTCTGAATCGATCAGCTTCTTTAATTTGTGAACGAGCTATCCATATTAAATCACACAATTTCTCACACCTAACAAAAAATATAAATTCACACTATTTAATTTGATAAAATAGGTATATTAAAGAGTATCTACCAAGTTTGTATGACATCTATATTCTTCATGCATTTATATCCATTACCAGCTAATTGTTGTTGACGTTTCCACTGAATTAAAGATTCAATAATATAAGCTTGTACAGGACTGATCAAGTTTGTTAATTCATTAAGTTTGTTAACGTAAACAGAAATAGAATTATTAAGAGTTAATGATTTAGCCTTTAGCTGTTCTTGGTGCAATTCTTTTTCTCGAATAAATTTACATTCAATTTCGGGTAGTACTGAAGTGTTGCTCATTCTTTGACTTTTTGCGTATTGTACTTGTTCTTGAGTATAAAAATATTTAATGTTTAATATAGAATATTATAATGGACATTAAAACGAATTAATTTACCATAATAATTGTCAAAACTTACGGGAGTACTTAGCACATTCTGAGTACAAAGCATTAAACGATTCGATGTCTAATTGAATTGTCATGCGAATCTCATTCGTGTGCTCGGCGTGGTTACTGATCCAATCCATCCGTTGCATGATTCCATTGTTTTCGTTTTCTTGGGATAATTTTCCGTTGTCCTCCATTAGTGATTAAAGGTGTAGGTATTTTATAATAAAAACACAAACAATGGGATGAAAATATGAATTCCGAAACTTTATTTACAAGAATTTTACGAGCCAAATATTATTTTCCACAAAATTCTACAACAATACAGCATTAAAAATATTTATCAATCAAATCATGTATAACATATTATTATAACTAAATATAGACGACGCCACGACGGGTTGTGCACGGGTTATTAATAATAACATAATAACAATTATTTGATGGCAGACGGCAGTGCATGTAAGAACACGGCACGATACCGATACAGCGCCACAGCGGTTTAACTGTAGGAACTATCAAATCGCAAATATCGATAAACGTTAATTGTAATTTGTAACATGAAAAACAATAAACGTTACCAACAGTTTATGTAAAGTTTAATAGTTTTACTGTACAAATATTACGTTGTTGAGTTGTTGACATGAAAACAACCGAAAATTCGTATTCGATAATCATACCAATCGTACTCTCATCGTTTCCCAATTTAACATTATTTAACAAATGRATTCACATTCAGATGCATAATTTCCCATTCCACATTGTCACATTGGTATAAAAACTGAACAATACATTCAGTTATTATATCCAAGAATGTATTTAAATTAAATAAAAAATTAAATTTGCATATAAATAAAATAATAATTATTATTAACTAATATTACATATTAATTAAAATACTGATCAATGAATAATAATATTGTCATGTTGAAGATCTATCAAAGAGTTAAGAGGACACTAGGAGTATCATGTTTTGATGGRCGTTAGTAAAAACTGTATCGTACTATTCGTACTATCACGCGAAAAAGAAACACTTGGGCCATATACTGCTTAAAAAACAAAATGTATTTATGTTCCAAAATACCATGTCTATTTGTCCATGTAGATGCTCAAATACTAGAGAGCCTTAATTTCTAGGCTTTCTACTTATTAAGTATTACTCTTATAAGGGGTGATATATTATCATTATGAGAAATGAATTATTATTTTTTTTTGCAATCCAGTTTCTATTAGTTCATAAATGGGTATTTTTATAGTTCTAAAAATACGCTAGCCCGTATTCTGATAAGACTGAAAAAAGATAGGTAGGTACCTGCATTTTGTATCATAGAAATAGATGTTAATGACTGAGTTATGAACATAGGACCAAGTATAAACTATAACTTATAAGCATATTATATAGCATAATAAAGTGATAACTGTAAAATAGGTAATAAATAATAATCAATAGCGTTTACAGGAAGTTTATAGTGAGTCGACCCAAAGTGAAATTTCTGAAGTTTCAAATGTTTCAATTGAATAATATTTTGTGCCTAAACGAATGTAGCCATAAACTTATAGATAATATGTGGTATGTTATAATTTCATAATTATTAATTGTAATCCCTAGGCCACAGGTGTRCGCAAACCTTTTTGGCAGTGTGGGCCAAACCAAGTTATGATTTAGATATAGGTGCTTAAATAGATACTTTAGTAAATTTTTCAATTTTCCAATGTATTTAATTAATTATTATCATAGAAAATTGTGATTTTTAATTTTATCATGTAAGTTTCACGATAAAAATGTATCGGATTACGATATGTATATAACAAGTACAGTATACGGCTCACAGGGTGGGCCGTGGCCCACCTGGCCCACCCCGTGCGCATGCCTATGCCCTAGGCCACGGCACCTTAAAATAGTATACACACTCACGGACTAAGACATTATTAGTTTATTATAGCTTAGCCCGTGTGTAGATCAATGAAAATAAKTTTTATATAAATATCAGTGGTAAATGGTATCATACAAGTACGTGGGGAAGGCACAAATAAAAATGTTTAAATATGGAATATCTTTTACAGTTATACTTGTAATAAATATAAATATTAGCTATAATTATGTTATACCCATAGACATAATATTATATCTATAGTTATATATTAATATATTATTACCTAATCGCCTTAATCTTTAAATTAAAACTATAGTCTATAGGTAGATACTTACTAATTAGGGCAATTAGGCACCAAATCAATGTATACTCAATGGTGCTATTACTTATTAGCATGGCATGTTTAACCTATCGGCTAGTCTCGGATAACAGGTAATAAATTATGACAACGTATTTTGTATTTAATCAGTCATCATAATTTTAGGCAACTTTCTGGTCAAGTTTTAATTTTATTATTTTGATATCGCCTATACAGTAATAGTTTTTATAACAGTTATTTTTATATTTTATTGATTTTAGTAACTTGAAAAAAAAATTACCGTAGATTAGGCATGTCAAACACGTGTCCCGTGGATACCCATATTAATGAACAAAAACATAAAATTATAATTATAATAAAATAAACTTATATTGATAAGAAATTATCATTCTGTCAAAAAACTTGAAAATTTAAAATGTCAATATTCTTCATAAGTTGTAAGTGGAAATTTAAAAAGAAATTTGAGCTTAAATCCAAAAATGTTTTATGGCCGGTGTCTAAAGTTCGAATTTTGACAAAATTCGTAAAATCACGATATTATATCAAAGAACATATTAACACGATAGTATATCAAAAGTAGGTATTGACTTTTTTCAAAATATTTTTTCACATAGTTTCAAGTTGTTAAAAATCCAACGTTTTATTAAAAAATTATATTTTTTATCCTTATCATTTTTTTAAGTTTTTACTTTTTTGAATGACAACATAGAGTTTTAGTAGGTCATTCTTTATAGTTGGCTTCTTGTCATTGACGTACCAGAAAACAGAACACAAGAATAAATTTATAAATAATTTATTACTAGAGTTTAAATAATGAAAAGTAACAGTTAAATAATAAATATTTTATATTTTTATTTAAAATTTTTTAATAAGTTTTAAGTTTGTACATAACCATGATAGTAAATCAAATAACAGTATAATATACTTTACATTTATAATATTAATTAGTGTATTATAACATTTATAACAGTGACACTTTATATTAATTAGTTTGTAATAATTAATAAAATAACTGAAAATCTGGATAAGTCGAGACGCCAAGACGGTACTACAGTAGTGTCGGTAGTTACTAGTTACAATAGAGGCAGATTCACAGACATATAGAATAAACTAGATTGCTAACTGTGATAAGACTTGAAAGTTGAAGTTACCATCCGCCATTTAAAAAGAGTTCAACACAGACTTCTATAATAACTAGATTTTCTCGGTTGGCAAATAGTATGCAATATTATATATGTATTTATGGTAAATATTAATTGATGTCGTATTGTATTTTATTATTTCTAGACTTGTTGTTTGTAACAAAAAAAAATTATTTTATATAGATCATTATGTCATTATTGTTATATATCACCTTTAAAAATTTTTATTGTGTTTCATATTTCACTGTTYTTTGGTATGGAAACTTTACTTTCTAAATATATATATATATGGGTGATATATAGATAATTTTAAAATGTGTGCACAAGCACAATAGGTGATCCCAATCATAACGAGATAAAATTRATCTAGTATAAAATACAATAAAGATTGCTATGAATGACTTCATTAAAGCTATAAATTACAGCTACATATACACACATGTACACCCAATTTTATTATTATGAAATAAAAGAGAACAATAATTGCTATAATTGTATATTATGTCAGTTTTACAGCAGTGGTGCGTTGCACAGTATTTAACATTGTATTAACCAATTTTACATTTATTATTATTATTTACCATGAGTTCTAGTAATGTGTGTTTTCAATGTAATTCCGGAAACTCAACAGCTTATAATTTGAATAAGCATATGCGAAAAAAACATGCCAATATTGTATTAAAGGTATTAATGAAAGATWTAAATGGTGAAATATTAAATATCCACTCTTCAAATGACCATACTTACTCTATGACAAAAAAATAAAGTTTTTATTATCTGGATTATACTCATTATTATTACCCACACGTGTGTTAGTTGAATTAATTTACCTATTTTATTATAACTACTATTTATTATATTGCTGTGTAATGTATTATACATTATATTTATTACTTTACCTATTTAACAAATGTTACCAGCAACATGCAACAGATTAGTGAATATGTAAATCTTATATTATTTTGATTTTAGATTCTGAGCGGAGCGATGAATGTATTGATTTTACCATGATGTGTGTTTTTCTTTTTGTGTCTGTCATCACGTTTTGGGGCAGTACCTCGTTCGATCAGAAAGTGAATCTAGTTGGTACTTTGGGCCTTTG